GTTCTTGTGGTCCGTCAGAACTGTAAACTTCCTAACCATACGTAGTTCAGGAGCCCATGCTTCTAAGCAACGAACAATAGCTAGAAGCTCCTTGTCATGAATTGGATAATTGGCCTCTGTTGGTGAGTGCTTCTTTGAGTAGTAAGCAACGGGTTGCCAGTTGTTGTTCTTGTCCTTCTGCAGCAATAGGCCGCCAGTTGCATGTCCTGAGGAGTCGGCTTCTACTAAGGTGTCCTTCTCTGGATCAAAATGGCCGAGTATTGGTGCTGTAATGAGAAGTTCCTTAATCGTTTCAAATGCTTGATTGCAAGCCTCGTCCCAATGAAAAACCATCTCTTTCTTAGTTAGGTTGATGAGCGGTTCAGCAATGTCCGAGAAGTTCGGTATAAAAACTCGGTAGAAGTTGGCAAAACCAATAAATGCTCGGATAGCCTTAACTGACGTTGGTGTAGCCCATTCGCGGATTGCGATAATCTTTTCAGGGTCAACTCGAATACCCACTTCTGCTTCCACAATGTACCCGAGGTATTTAACTCGTTTAGTCTCGAACTCGCACTTGTCGATATCAATCTGCAGTCCAGCGTCTATGAGGCGTTGAAGAACCTTTCCAACCTTCTCTCTGTGATCCTGAAGCGATCCTGACGAGTAGATCAAGATGTCGTCAACGTAGGGCTGAAACAAAGTCGTCAAGGTAATCCTGCAGAACACTATTTACGTAGCGTTGAAATGCGGCTGGTGCTCCTGTTAGTCCGAAGGGAGCAACCCGCCATTCGAATAGGCCGTATCTTGTTCGGAAAGCTGTCTTCCATTCCTCTCCTTTGGCCACACGGATCTTGTGGAAGGCTGCGATAACGTCAAGTTTTGTGAACCATTTAGCTTTGGCCACATTTCTCAGTGTTTCTGTGAATAGAGGCAGAGGGTAACGGTCCTTCCTGGTGATGTTGTTCAAGCCTCGGTAGTCAACGCAAAATCGGATGCCCCCTCCTGGCTTTTTAACCATTAGGACGGGTGCGGCTGCGGGAGAGTTACTAGCGCGGATAAAATCCTTGTCTAACAGCTCGGTGAGAGTTTTCCTAAGCACTAGTAACTCTTCTCGGCTCATGCCGTAGAGCGGACCCCATGGAATGGTCTTCTCGTTTCCGTCTTGATCCTTTTCAATCTCAATGTGGAGATCAACGCCTTTACGATGCGGGGGAAGTTTCTCAGCTAGGAAATGGTCGAAAGCCTTCAGCCATTGGTGGTACTGGGGTGGGAGCTTCGTCTTCGGATCGGATCGTTTGCGCGGTTTCAAAGCTTTCTCAATGTCGGCGATGGAAACAGCGAACAGTCCAGTGTCGAGCGCAATACCGTCTCCTTTGTTCTTCCTACGGCTTCTTCTCACCTCCGCCATGAATGCGGAAGCCATCACCTGAGTAGCCTTCATTGGTGGTGGCTTGTATGACGCTTTCTTGTGGTTCCATGCGCGGATGTTTGATGCGCCGATATCCAGGCAGCCTTGTTTGGCCGAAATTGTGACGTCGGCATCCTCTAACCAGGGCTTTCCCAGAATCACGTCGTAAGTCAGGCCAGGTACAACGTAGAAGAAGACGCGTTTCTGCTGGTGGCCGTCTATGTCTATCGAGGCGTAAGTAACTGTATCTAGGACAGTACTTGGTTCTGCGTTCTTCCCAGCTGCTTCCTCCAGCTGACGCGGGGCTATCTTGATTGATGGCAGTCTCAGAGATCGAAAGAGTTGTTCATTGATGGCGGAATAGCAAAGGCAACCTGAGTCAACAAGTCCAGTGACAAAGTCAGTTCCATTAAGTCTAACGTCCACTACAAAGGGATCGCTATCCATCTTTTGCTTTCCAGTCTCCTTCCATTCTTTCTGAGCTGCCGCGTGTTCCTATTGCTCTGCTTCGGAGTCTTCTGGATCTTCCTCCTCTACAGCTGCCTTGGTGACCACAGTACTCTTTGCTGTCTTGACGCTAACGTGAGTTGGTCGTAGAGCGGCTGCCAACGGGCATGTAGCTATTCGGCAATTGTTGCGGCCGCATCGAAGACAGCGTCGTTCCTGGCGTCGAGCATCGATTTCCTCTTGGTTGACCCATTTTGCTCGTTTTCCAATAAGTTCTCGGTCCTCAGGACGCCTAGATGGATATCCATTCATGTTGGTCTTGCCGCGGAGGCCGACAGCGTTCACTTGGGTAGTTGTAGGCTGCGTAGGTTCCCATTCCATCATGTCTTCAGGGGAAGCTGCTGTGAGAGTGGCATTATTCGATTTTGCTGGTGGTTCATAGGTTGGTGCATTTTCAGCAGTTCGGCTACCGTAACGACGGGTTGTTTTCGTCCATTGGCCGAACAACTCCATGTCGTTGCTAAGATCTACACACTTCTGAGCGAACCTTGCGTATGTGCTTGTTTCTGTCCCTGATGTACCAACAAGCCTATCCTTTATCCTACCACTTAATGCATTTCGTAAGTAGGATATCTTCGTATGCTCAGGCCAGCTTTCTGCGTCAGCGTTGGCCATCTCTTTCTCAAACCGTGGATAGAAGGAAATAAACGTCTCGTCGTCCTTCTGGCGTATAGAGTAGAGGTTCTGAATGGCTTTCTCCTTCCGATTTCGTTCGCCGTAGAGGAGTTCAAGGCGGTCAAGCAGCTTGAAAGGGTTTGGCGATTCTTCTTTAACTTGTATCTCGTAGTATGTTGTAACGTTGGTTTTCGCTGCCCCATCAAGACGCATGTAGACGTAGCGTAGCTGAGCTTTTAGGCTTCCAATAGCTTGCGCGTCTTCTTCGATCTTGCCCTCCATCTCTAGCTTCCATCCTCGCCATTGTGATTTGTTTCCACCAAACGTAGGCGGGTGGGGTAAGCTGTGCCGCGGCTTTGGGATTATAGGCACAGATGTGTTCGAAGTCTCGGAGGTTGGCGTCGGATCAGTGGTGGCGTCTGTATTGTGACCAGGCGTTTGAGGTGGCTCGTGCGATGATGCTTCCAGCCTCTCCATCCTAGTGCTCATGTCTTCAAGTCTCTGTAGTAGCGACTGTAACAGCTGGTTCGAATCGTTCGTCGTCATGTTAGTATCCCCGGGGGAGCTCATTATAACGGTGCCTTGGTTGCTGCGTGTTCTGCGTGTTCTGCGTGTTCTGCGTGTTCTGCGTGTTCTGCGTGTTCTGCGTGTTCTGCGTGTTCTGCGTGTTCTGCGTGTTCTGCGTGTTCTTCTTGATCTTGACTGTATGTGAACGGTCTGTAGGAACTGTATTCCAGCTACCTAGTCCAGATGCTATTTACAGTCAAGATGAAGAAAGAAGGTAAGACGCGAGCGGCGAGCCCGCTTTGTTTGGGTTGGCGCACGGCCCTCTCGTTGCCGGGGAAGCGACTAGGCTCGCAGCCTAGTCATGTGACTTAGGGCTCAGCCCGTTACAGGAAAAGGATGGCCAGAGCTCTGGGTTCTTATATACGTACCGTAATCCAAATAATATAATCAACATATACGCCATATTAGCTTGTGCTTACCTCGCTCAAAATTATTATTTATATCAGCATTCCGCTGATTTCCAGCACAACAGACCTCAAGGTCATCCCAAGATGAAGCCCTTCCTGTTTTCGGTTGGTGACTAGAAGGTTCGCTATCGCTATAAAGCACAGTACTTCTGTGACACCGAAAGACTTCCTTGTCTTACTCCAGAACGCTATCCATGAACGGAAAGATTACGCACAGTGGTGTCCAGCTATAAGTCATCGAGACCGACCAAAGCAAAGACCACATCATCGCGTCATTGAAGTGTTGTAAGACAATTTCATGGTTCTCAAGTCTGAGAGCCTCGAATGGGAAGGCAGTACTGCTACCCCTGAGAAGACGCCTATGTCTCGAGCCAGTTGGAGAATGGTAGCCTTGGAGATAACAGGACTGAAAAGAAATTTCATGTTGGACTCTCTGAAGCTTCAGCTGTCATGACAGGGTCGTCGAGCAAAGAAACTGTCAAGAAGCTATATCGAGAAGAGTTCGCTTTAGGGGATCTAATCTACACCATATTCTGCCTCACCCATGGTTCAAGCAGGATGTGATAGATCATACTCAAGAGCAGATACAGTGGCCTCATACCACTATAGCAGCACTTTACACCGAAGCCTCCAAATCACACTAAAGATAGGCCATCATCTTTTTAACACAGTCCACACGGTCTCGTATCTCGACAGGGCCAGTTCCCTTCCATCTCGCCCCAATTTCAGTCACCATCTGTCAATCCCAGTTCCGGATTTCACATTTCAAACAAATTGAGAGTACGCTCACAACCTCTGGGGAGTAGTTGAATGTAGTCTGTGTTCGCTTTGATCTACTCTCAGCAAACATTAGGTTAGGGTTTCCTTCAACTGTGAATTACCTGCGTCAATGTAATCTTCTAAAGTCTTTTGGATGCGGTAGTTTTGATGCCTCAGGTCGATTGTGCTATTGTATCAGTAGCTTTTTCAATTGATTAATCTTATATGCAATACTTGTATATTAGGAGTGCCTAGAATCTATCAATAGCAGCTATTCGCAGAAGATACAGAGCTTGATAATTTCATTAGTGCCGTCTTCTCGATGCCATGTGACTCGAAGCCAGACAAAGTCGGCTGTACACATGCTCAATTTGAGATCAATTTGATCTGTAATAGACCCAGTAGTAGTAGTGTGAGATTCTTAGCAGCTATATCGAGAAGCATAGGGATGAGCAAAAAAAGAAGGCTCATAGGCAGCGGATGTGACAACGCGACTGCGGAATATTCAGTATTATTCTTGTAGCTCAGAATAGCAATTCAGAGTGATATAAATCAGAAGTCTTCTTTTCTTAAACTTTCCGTTATGGAGGACCCTAATATGTGGCGTCATCGTCATCGCGTGAGTCGTACCTGCCAAGACAAACCGCTCATGCCCCGCCATCCCACTCACCCCATCTCGACTTTTTCCAACACCAGCCCACATACACCAGATCAGCAGTATTGGGCGACACTGTTACAAACGCAAACCCCCCAACATGGACGCCGCAATCGCCGAATGGCAAACCCGCTCCGAGGACCTCAAGCCCCTCAACCTCAAGCAAATCGAGCCCCACCTCCTTGAACTCGACGCTCACCTTACCCTCCGAAGCCACATTGTTGGCTACACGCTGTCCGACGCTGACACAACAGTATGGAAAACAATTCGCGAGAACCGCGTTGCGCATGCGTTTGTCAAGCAGGACTTAATGAAGAACTTGTGCCGCTGGTTTAGGTACATTGAGGAGGCATATCCGCAGAGTGTTGTTGTTGTTGTTAGTGGTGGACAGGGCAAGAAGGAGGAAGGCACCAAGGGAGGCAAGGGCAAGAATGATGATGCGAATTATGATATTGGGCTGCAGGATGTAGGGGATGGAACGGGGATTGTTACTAGGTTTCCTCCAGAGCCTTCGTGAGTGCTTGTCTTCAGAAGCATATGCTGGAATGGGTAAGCTAATTGCACCGCAGAGGTTATCTCCACATTGGTCATGCAAAGGCAGCGCTACTGAATGACTACTTCGCGCACGAGAAATACAAGGGCAAGCTGCTCCTACGGTTCGACGATACCAACCCCACCAAAGAGAAGCAGGAGTTTCAAGATGCCATTGTCGAGGACTGTGCGCTTCTCGGCATTAAGCCAGACCAGGTCTCGTACACTAGCGATTGGTTTGACCAGCTATATGAAAGCTGTGTGCAGGCAATTAAAGATGGGCTTGCGTATGCCGATGACACTCTGCAGGAGAAGATGCGTGACGAGCGCATGAATGGCATTGCCAGCGCTCGCCGTGACGCAAGTGTTGAGGAGAACCTGGCGCACTTTGAGGAGATGAAGAAGGGTAATGAAGAGGGATTGAGGTGGTGCATTCGCGCAAAGATGTCTGTCGACGACCCGAACAAGGCCATGCGCGATCCCGTCATTTACCGCTGCAACCCCCAGGCACATCACCGCACAGGCGAGAAGTGGAAGATCTACCCAACCTACGACTTCTGCTGCCCCATCGTCGATGCTTTAGAGGGTGTTACTCACGCACTGCGCACTACCGAGTACAACGATCGCGATGCACAGTACCAGTGGTTCATCAAGAACCTCAAGCTCCGCAAGGTCCATAACTGGGGGTTCGCACGTCTTAACTTTGTCCGCACTGTTCTATCAAAGCGCAAACTTACCAAGATTGTGGATGCTGGTATTGTTTCTGGCTGGGACGATCCGCGCATGCCTACCGTTCGAGGTGTTCGTCGCCGCGGTGCTGTCATTCCCGCGCTGCGCGAGTTCATCCTTAAGCAGGGACCATCAAAGAACATTGTCAACCAGGATTGGTTCGCTTTCTGGGCTACTAACAAAAAGCATATTGAGCCAACCGCAGCGCGCTACACAGCTATTGACGACGATGGCCGCGTCCCCGTCACAATCATCGGTGCACGTGAGGGTGTGATCTCCGAGGACAAGCCCAAGCATGCCAAGTACGATCTCGGCAACAAGAAGATTGTCTTCAGCTCATCCGTCATCATGGAGCAGGCCGACGCGCAGTCATTCGCGCAGGATGAAGAAATCACGCTTATGAACTGGGGCAATGCCATTGTCCGCAAGATCAGCCACTCCATTAACCCTCTCGAGATGGCGAAGCATGGTCTGAAGACCGTCACCGGTCTGGAACTCGAGTTGCACCTCCAGGGAGACGTGAAGAAGACATCGAAGAAGGTTACTTGGTTGAGTAATGATCAGGATCTCGTGCCCATCGAGCTGGTTGACTATGATTACTTGATCACAAAGGACAAGCTCGAGCCCGATGACACCCTGGAGGATTTCCTGAACCCACAGACTGAGACAAGGACCAAGGCCATGGCTGACTGTAATGTCGCCGGGCTCAAAGTTGATGATATTGTGCAGTTTGACCGCAAGGGCTTTTTCCGTATCGATCGTGCGTTTGCTCATGGGGAGCCGGTGGTTGCATTCCAGATTCCTACGGGTAAGAGCAAGTAATGGTTCTGCGAAATTTGAGCCCCAGCCTACTCATTCTCTTTGCTATGAATGCGCGAGCGGGGATATTCTGAGATACCACAAAAGCTGCACTGTAGTCACAAATCATCATACAATAAATGATGAATGGAACCTTTTATGATATTATGATCTCTCTGTCTGCGTGTTCGTCTTTCACTTTGTCTTATCACGTGGCCACAGAGTTCATGATCAGTCTTGGTTGAAGCACGGGCAGGATCAACGTCAACAAACAGCAGAAGTAACTCGATGATAGGGTATGAGGAAAGTGGCTTTTGCAATGATATCTAGCTATAAATATAATAATTTCGGTAATACATGTACTGTCTGTACAGAAAGAAGAAAGGAGAGAAGAAAAGAAGACATGGTCCTTTGAAGACGAGAAGGGAGGACGCAACTTGACATGGAACTTGAGGAACAGAAATTTCAGATAAACTGGATATTTTCAGGGGCAGATGAGCGACAGAGACATTGCTCCTGTATAATTGTCTTTAGTACATGCAAATTTTTGGGTAATGTAACATAGAGAGAAGAAAAGAAGACAAGGGCATTTTATACACAAGAAGGGAGTACGCAACTCAACATAGAAGTCGTTCACTCGGAATTTCAGATAAACCAGATATTTTAGGGGCAGAAGAACAACAGGAGACATTGTCTCTTTCTATGTGGTGTTTTTTACATGCAAATTTTATAGTAATATGAAGATAGAGAGAAGAAAAGAGAGAAGAAGAGGAAAAGGTACTAGTATTTAATAGATAAAGGAGGTAGGTCGCAACTCGACATAACAGGGTTCTTGGAAAATTTCAGATAAGTCGGATGTTTTCAAGGGCACACAAGCGAAAGAACATATGATTGTCTGCAAGCGATTTAGTACACATAAGCGTGTTGTATATAAGTTGGTAGAGAACGCGACATTGTAAACCAAGTCACGCGCTTTAGAAATTCAAAATATAATGTAGCTGTAATAAGTATGTTAAAGGTTAGACTTGATTTTATGTCGCATACAATGATCCAATGCAAGTTTTGAGAGACGAGAAGAAGAGAAGGTACTAGTATTTCAAACATAAAGAGGTAGGTTGCAACTTAGCGTTAGATGTTGATCTAGAAATTTCGAATAAGTCCTAATTTTTGAAGTAGAGTCGAGTGGCGGAAACATAGTTTCGTAGCGGAAGGATTTTGTATATGCAAGGTTTTTGATAAAGAGAGATAGAAAGAGGAAGAGAGGGAAGGGAGGGAGAGTAGGTTTTTATAGATGAGAGTAAGCGGTGAAACCACATATAATAGGTTGTGAAATCATTTTTTGTCGCATAGTAATTATCAATGTATAGAATAAGTAGCAGAGATACAGCTACGCAGAGAGAAGTTGTCGTGTATAGAAGTAGTTTTCAGAAAGAGGGTAATAGAACGAGTAAAAGAGAGAAGAGAGGGGGAGAGGACTTCCCATAGATAAAAGTAAGTGGCGGGAGTCGACATTATGTAAATAGTAAGTTGTTATTTTCCGTACAGCAAATTTCAATTACAGAATAGGTAGTAGAGAAATCTCTACGTAGAGGGGAGTTTTAGTACATTGCAGGTTTTCGGAAGAGAGAGAGAGATATATATAGAAAAGAGAAGAATAGAAGATAGAGACGTCTTAGGAAGATTTTATAGATAGCACAAGGGTAAAGTTAGACACAGCTTGCCTAGCAGAGGATTTCAATGTAGAAAGTAGACGTTTTCTTAGTCCTAGCGAGTAGAGGAAAAGGAGGGAAGAGACACATCATAAGGCGGGTCGGCAGTGTTTTAAAAACAGAAAGAAGAGTAGAAAGTGTGCGAATATATACGCATAATCTCTCCCCTTTGTCATAGCAATCCCTATTCGCAGTTTCTTAATTTTCTAGGTAGTTTACAAATATTTTTAGAGTAGACAGAAGACAAAGAAAGCGGCCATCAGCAGAAATGCTTATCATTTTCAGTCATCACAATAATCCAAGAGTTTTTCGGTAATTTTGCAAGCAAGTATAGAAGGAGAAAGGAGAGAAAGGTAGGAGAGGTGTAGAATTTATAGACGCCGAAGCGACCAGAGAGACATGCGTTTGGAAAGATGTAATCTTAGGAAAGAGAGACATAGGCGGCGAGGTCGCGGTTTTTAGAGTTTTTAGATGCTGATAATAGCTTTTAGAAGAGAAGGAAGAATGAAGAAGAGAGGAAGAAGTGTAGAATATATACCATGTTTCCTGTCATGCCAAGGAGTACACAGGTATCACCCACATGTGTCTCCGTCTTACGAATTTCAGAAAGTAGAATATTAAGACAGAAGACTTGCGCAAACATGCGCATGTAATCTGGTCCTTTTTTGTAGAAAAAAAAACCACAGACGCTCGCAAACATCTGGTGGAAGACTTAATTTTTTTAAAAGAAAACCACCATACAAATTTTATACTCATAATTTTTATCGCTCTACAGATCATTTTCGGTCTCTCTTAGAGTGCAGACGCAGAAAAAAAAGAATCCACGTAGAGTATACCTCTGGTCTGGGAAAACAAGCATTTTTGCGATTTTTCTTATTTTTAGTCTTAATCAATTAATTCAGAAGTAGCACTCTGTAACATGGAAGAGATGTTGGAGTACTTTAATGTATTTTAGAAAATAAGGGATTTTTTAAGTATTTCGAGTAAAACGAATTGCCTACGTGTTACGTATCAAGTAAATAGATACACAAATAGACAGGCATACAGGCGTAGGTTGCTCTTTTCGATAAGTGCCCAAAGGCACATTGTTATCGAGCTTCCTGTCTTTAGAGAATTGGAGTCAAGAATAGGTAGAAACGCCCAAAAGCACATCCTTGTTGAACTTGTTTATTTTTTGAGAAGATTAGAGTGAAGAATAAGTAGAAGCGCCCAAAAGCGCATCCTGTCCAAATTTGTGCTTTTTAAGAAAATTGAAGTAAAGAATAGGTAGAAGCGCCCGAAAGCACATCGTGTCTGCATAGAGTCCTTTTAGTTTATGATTTCAGTTTGAGTGTAAGATAAAGATTGGAGTAAGGAACGGGTTGGCCGGCTTTTATGGGCAGCGAAAGGAGCGCTAGCACTAGCGTGCGCTGAAGCCACGTCTGTGATCATTCACGTGTGTCATCCTTCTGCAACACAACATCCGCAGTGATGACATGCAGAGCTCCAGAAACACTTGAGTTATTTCGAAGGATGTTTATTATTGAATCTATGCCCTTCAAGAGCAGTGCGCGTTGACACAGAGAGGATCTAGACTGAGACTACCTTGGTAGGTACCTTTGCAGCTTCTTGAGAATCCCAAATAACTAATCATGGCCTCCAAGCTATTCCTTTCTATGGGAATCTCAGCAAAACTTCTGCTTCGTAGCCCAATCGCACATAACCTTTCCCACACAGCTGCAACATGCGCAAACCTGTCGTACACCGTCAATTGCCCCGCCTTATCATATCCTCGAACATTGCATACCTGTCTCTGCTTCACAGCATTATTATCTCCATCGATGCACATCAGAGTCTGCGAGTTCCACCGGAACTTGTTGTAGCATGCGTTGGCGTTGATGACGGCTGCGCAATCGTCGGTTCGGGCCACTTCTGCGGTGCACTCGGGGTATGTTTGTGCGGAGGCGATGGTGATGAGACTCGAGTATAGGAGATAAAAGAGCTTCATAGTGGTGGTTGAGAAGGAGGCAGGGAAGAAGGCGCTGACCTGGATAGGCTGGGTAGCTTGGTGATGTTGCTTCTGACATTCACAATATACAGGCGGTGGTCACTGGCATGTTGTAAGGTGGACTCATATATCCGATACTCATACATGCCGATTCATCGAGTCAATTTATCCTGAAGTGCCAAGGGTAGCATGATACGGGGCTTGAGGCCCGCTCTGGCAAGTCATTAGCATTCCTATATTCGATATCTGCTATTGTGGAGGGTCGGTTGCATACTCCCATACCCGGATAATTTCCAACATCTTATCACGAGATAGAGTCCTATCCAACAGAGCCAGTGACTGACTCCATCAGGTAGCTTACATATAGATCCTTGTGACGCTTGTGTGGGGCCGCTCAATTCTCCTTGGCGGGCCGTCGTGCATTCGCTAGACGATATTGGTCTAGATTACCCCAGACTTCGGCTTTCGAGATTGCTACTCAACAACAGCGGCAGTTGTAGAAGTACGTCACCTTGGAGGAATAATGTGATGACAGTGATGATGGAGAGTACTACTTACAGCCCACAGTCCAAACATTATCTCTGTGCAAGATAGTCCAGCACCATGGTGAAGATGAAGAAGTTTCTTGCAGCTTTGAGCCTGTTGGCCCCTACCAATGCCGGTCTTTTGCGCTTTGGATGCGCACAATCGTCAGTTCAGCGTCTGGATCCTCTGGTTAATCCAGGTTCCAATCCATCTCCACATCTTCACCAGATTATTGGTGGCGTACGTATCTTCCTTACTAGACTTCCGGAAGAGTGGAGATGTTGACAAACGTACCAGAACTCGTTCAACGTGACTATGGACCCGACCCAAGGTCATGACATTGCGAAGCTCTCCACATGCACGACCTGCCAGTTCACCGAGGACCTAAGTGAGTCAAGCATGACAGAAAACAGTTAGCGATGAGCAAAAGCACTAAACCATCATTACAGGTAACTACTGGACCGCGGTGGTCTACTTCAAAGCGAAGAACGGCACCTACAAGCGCGTACCCCAACGTGCTCAACAAGGCATGGAAGGCACAAACGGCGGCATGGTAACACCTCCCACCACAAATAGCCTCCTCTCGACTAACACCGACAGGTCGTATACTACATGAATGACGCCCTCTTCAGCACAACCCAAACCACCAAAGTCAGCGCCTTTAAGCCCGGCTTCCGAATGCTCATCGGCGAAGTCACATACCGCACCCGCAATGAATCGCGCGCCTTCCGCCAACTAACCTACACATGCATGCAGACCGAAGCAACGCGAGAACCCGAAACCCTCGACTTTCCCAAGAAACCCTGTCCAGCGGGTATCATGATCAACCACCGTTTCCCCACCTGCTGGGACGGCGTGAACCTCGACTCCCCCAACCACCGCGACCACGTCTCATACCCGGAGACGGGGACATTTGAAAACGGCGGCCGGTGCCCGGATAGCCACCCTGTTCGCATCCCGCAGATTCTGCTGGAGACGGTGTGGGATACCAAGGCGTTTAACAATGTGGCCGAGTGGCCGAGTGATGGCAGCCAGCCTTTTCTGTGGTCGAGTGGGGATCAGACGGGGTTCTCCACGCATGCGGATTATTTGTTTGGGTGGAAGGATGATTCATTGCAGAAGGCTATGGATGGGAACAATTATGTGACTGCACCTACGCTGAAGACGCAGAGTATTGAGAAGCAGAATGAGTGTAAGGTCAAGGACATGGTGGGGGAGAGGTTTGACGGTTGGTTGGCGGCGTTGCCGGGAGGTATGCAGGTTGACTGAGCCTTTGGTTGGGTTGTTTGTTTACTACCACTCCAGGGCAAAAGTTTGCTTGTCACTAAAATCATGCACGTTATTATTGAATTCCGGTGAGGATGAGGAGTGGCGTCTGTTAGGAACATGCAACGAAAATGAATGAAACCGTTGTGGAGGCGCAGTGCCAATGCGAAATGAAGCGTGCTTTGCAAGGCATGATAACAAGGCTGTTAATGGGCCTCCAGCTCCATCGGCATCCGGTATGCACCTGTCCTGGGTGTGACTGTGCAAATTATCGGGTTCGCATATGATTGGAGGAAAAATGCCGAAAGGATTGCAGGATATGCAGCAGCATGACGCTGTCAAGTATATAGTAATATTAATGTTCGTACCTTAAGTTCCACAAACTTACGTGGCAAGAAAGTGATATCTCGTTTTCTTCTTCGAACTTTTTGAAACTGCCTGTTGGCCTTGCCCTTTACCGCAATCAGTCTAGGCTCTACCACCTATATGCGCGAATTCCCAGATAGGATGAGAAAGTGGAGCTTTGGTGGCTGTGATGAATGAGAAAGTTTGCGACGTCGGCAAAGACGGTTCGTATACAGAATTAACGTTTTCGACTTGCCCATGTGAACGGAAGAATGGTCTGTCGTGAAAGGTGATGAAGTGATCTTACTTACATCGTGCATCCTATCAAATCTAATGGTGAACGAGGACACATCTCGGGAACTCCAACATCCGTCTTGTCTGCCTTGCCAGATCGTTTCGGGGTTACCAAGGTGCCAGGGGCTGTGCTCTAGACGGGCGGTCGTAATTCTGATCATCGGATGGTGTTCTTCTTACCTTTGAAAAAGCTATCATACAAGTTTATCGTGTTGTTTCTTGTCGTTCCGCCGCGTTGTTGATTGTAAGAGAATCCACTGGCACCTAAAGACCGGGTAACCGTGTAGTCATTCTACCATATATGCGGCTGGACGGCTCAAAACTAAACAATGGTGTGTCGCACAGATTTTTCGGCTCTTATAGAACTAATGCAGCTTTTCCGGATCCAGTTCAGGTTACGTTGATGGATATTGTGATGTATGGAGCTGAAGTCCCTTGTACAGTAGGGGATAAGGCCCAAATGCAAAAACAATCCGACAAAAACAGGCTACTATCCACTTACTGTGGGCACCCGGACACACAGACATAGTAGGGAATGAAAGAGCAGACTATCTTGCAAAAGAAGCTGCTAAAGAAGTCCCACAATCATCAACAAAAAGCATTGCCTACCTAGGCACTGTTATCAAAAAGATCGAACAAACCGAACAACGCCAAGAGTACCAAAAATACAAAACAAGAGCAACTACTCTAAACAAAATGACCTACTCAGCAAAATTCCCACTCAAAATCCGAAAAACAATCCAAATACCACGCAGCACCAATCGAGAAATCTCTAGCGCCTTCTATGCTCTCAAAATAGGACACGGATACTTTGGGTCCTATTTAAAGAGATTCAAGAAAAGAGAATCTGATCTCTGCAGCTGCTCGCACACCCAAACACCAGAGCACCTACTTTTACAATGCTCTCTATACAAAACAGAAAGAAAAACTCTCATACAAGCAATCAATCACCAACCAGCTACTCTACCACTACTTCTCCATACTAGCGCCGGTATAGAAGCCACTTTAGCTTTTATTACTAGCACTAGAATAGGAACAAGAAAATGGTACCAAGGACAGCTGCTAGACGACACACAGAGAGACACTGTATAAAACTAAAAACACTGCCTTCTCCTTTGTCATAAGAGCCCGCTGCCACATCTCTTTCTATTCACCAAACTGCTCTTTAGCACCAGGCACTAGCTAGACACCGAGTATCTAGCTAGAAGCAAGCCTAAACTGCCATAGCCAAACAAACACCCAAACTGTACGATAAACAAAACCAGATAGAACGGCCTTCGGCCCAGTCCTACATAGTCTCTGACTGAAAAAGGACTCAAATGGAATAATAATAATAATAATAATAAGGCCCAAATGCATCTTGGTCACCCGCGGTGTATCCCCTCGGAGCATCATGCAAACCCCATGCTCACGCCCCATACTGGAGTGTGGGGCCTTGGTTCCGGTGAGAATGTCCAGAGGTCGATGTATTCCAGGTCAAGTCTGGCTCGGTGATAGGGAGGGTGGTGCGTCGTGCAACATCGCAACGGAAAGACCACAGTCAAACTAAGCCCCCCCCAAAGGACTAGGTACTCTCTTTTGCTCATATTCTAGCATAAAGGAAGAAAGGGTAAGATGAGGTAACATTGGGCGCCGCTAATTACCTTCAGTCCGGTTTGGTAGTGGCAGACCTCTGACCATCACTGTTGAACCAATTCCAGTCCTTTTGACTCCATCCAAAGTTAATCGCGTCTGAGCTGAGACTATAGCATCATCGTGGCAAGCTGTAGCCCATTCAAGTAGCCTCGAATATGCCGGTGGTATCCTCGCTGTTTCCGCTCGGTATGTTTTGAACGCACCGCCTATGCCATTGTATGCGTATGAAGTCGCTGACCTGACTCTTCAGTTCGTCAAGCCGATTTCGAATGGATGGGTGGGGGGCTAGAGGGGAGGGATGGCGTAACTGTCGGTGACGGGGCATCTTTGGCAGGGCTATTCGTGGCGCTGATCGTAGGTATCCCCACCACGATCGTTGCGATCCTTGCGATCATGGTGTATCTCAGGTCAAATGATGGGTCTGAAACAGGTGAGTTCTTTTTGTCAAGTGTGCCAATGTACATAGTCAAAGACGCGTCAGAGGAAAGTGACCTTGCTTACTCTTTTTCGTGGTTTTCTGACATACCCTGACACGAGACGTCTCGATACCCCGTGATTATCGAGTGCGTAGCTGACAAGATATTATTTAGCCGCGGGACCCCATATTGCATGCGGCAGACCTACTGACGGAGAGGCCTTTCAAGGTAATTAGCGGAATCTCCGAAGAATCAAACGGTAGACTTACATCTTGCAAGGTATTCATCCTACGAGCCAACAGAGCACCAGTACAGAGATAGAGCTTCGTAACATACCTGCTGCCCAAGATCCTGCAGTTCCTCGTACGGAGCATTCCATAGCAACTGCTGCTCAGAGTGTTCCAGCGACACGTACGGAACGGGAAGCTCCCGTTCTGTCTACTGCTCCCACCGTCTAATATCCTCATGCAATACACGAAGAGGAGGTACGGGGCATCACCGTGTCGTCGTAGAACACAACTACATCATATCAGATAACTGATATCGAGGATGAGTGAAGGAATCGAGCAAGTGGATGACGCTCTCAAACGCTGATGTCGATACGAAGAAGGGTGAGTACAGGCATCTCAGCTGAAGAAGAGCGTCATCTACGTGCAACAACTGAGTTTCCGAGATGGGTGGGTGTCAAAGATTAGGGATGAATGTTGGGATAGGCTCATAACTATAGTAACGTTAGAAGGATGTCTTGGAAGGTGTTGAATCTTATTAATGTACCGTCGTTAGAACTGCCTTTGATACTATGTGAGAGTGGCTAGCAATGCATAGCAACGTTCGAGGGTAAGAGAAGAAAGGTTGGGGGTGGATATGTTGGGAAGAAAGTTGAAAGGCTGCAAGGTTACTAGAGCCAGGAAACTTGGAACGCCTACCGGCAGCGTGTTGGAGGCATAAAATGGTTATAGAGGACCTTATGGGATCAGCCGCCTTTGAGGGAATGTATCTTGTGGGGTTAGACTCATTGAAAAGCGGGCCGTGTTATCATTCCCGCATGATCATGCATATGTTTTGGCAAAATCTTGACGCCACACCGGACAACGTGGACTGGCGGGCCAATGATGATTGCAACAGATGTGCGTTGCCCCGCAGCTATTTATGCAGACACGCTTCTAGGAGATATCAGACGCTGCAACTTGTCCGAAATTGACGATTTGTGTATGACAAGTGACAAGGCCAGGCTAAGCTAGGACAAAATTGACTTAGCTCGGGGGGGGGGGGGTGTCAGGTTGACCTCAGTGATTGATCGAGTTGTGTTGTTCACCCCTGGTACAGTCGACCCGAGGTACCCAAAGTTAGGTACCGCAACCAAATGATTTCAAAAACTCCTAGGAAGAAAAAGAATAGCCTGCATGCTCATTTTGAGATCACGAACAGTAGTTAGTGGCCTCTACAACAGTACTGGCAGCCAGTTTCAGGATGCTGGATGTACGACCTGAAATCCTTCGGAATTTTGGTTGGTACGAGCAGCAGTTGTGGAACTACAAACATACCTACTAATGTGAAAATATGCGGTATCTACGCCACAGGGTCACACTGTGTCAGCGCGCAGTTCCGCCAGCTCGGTTGCGAAACTCAGAAGGGTGGCAGCCCAAGCTACATTAGTGGACGGGAACCCAAAGAAGTCTAGCTTCCTTTGTTGCAACGCTCCCGTGATCCCGTCCATCTCCGTCTGCACCTCCCTCTCTTCCCGCAGCCGCAGTAGCAACGACGATAGCCATAATATCTTTCGTTGGTAAAGGCTTGAGATCCCAGCCCAAGACTTCTGGCCTCTCCAGCTTGTGCTGGAACGTGATTTTGAAATCTTGACCGTCGACAGGCGTATTATACACTTCTTCACCGTCGGCGAAGATCTGTATGGAAGACGGCTGCGAGGCTGAGCGGGCTGAGTGGAAGGAGCCTTGGACCTGTACTTCCACCTCCAGCCCCCCATCATCTCCATCACGTGGAGAAGGCAAACTCGTGAGGTTCGCAGTGACATCCCCCAACAACTCCCCAACACCGCGCACAGCCTCAACACAATCAGTTCGTAGTCCCAGCACCCTCCCAGGCCCAACCCTCTCCCCCCTCGCCCTCTCAAAAGCCCACGCACACCCCAACACCCCCTCATCTTGATACCCCCTCCCTGTAAACGTAACCCCAACCGGCATGCCCGTCTCCTCCCCCACCCCCATACTTACCGTAACAGTCGGCACACCCAGATGCCTAAGCGCCCTATTCCCATTCGAATACTTGACCCCATTCTGCAAACTATGCCGTGTACTCTTCGCTACGAATTCCAGATCCGCAAGTCCCACGTCACCCTGTGTTGGAAAGGCCAGGATATCCAATCCCAGCTCGTCCATCCAGTCTTCCAGGTCGCGTTTGCGCTGCGCTTCGAGGGCGGAAAGCGCCTGTGACATACCGGGGGTATCATGAATACTCTTCCCGTGCTGCACGAGTGATGGGAGAGACGCATAAGCGATCCAATTGCGTACCTCGAGGAAGGTGTCTGGGATGTAATTTTCTGGCTTGGGGAAGAGCATTGCTGGATCTTTTATATCAGACAGACTCTTGATGCCGGATACAGAGTCTGCGTTGCTGACGAGGAAGGCGTCCCAGGCTTGTGCGATTAGTAGACCGCGCTCCAGTACATTCCAGTCTTTTGGATAGTCGACGACGTTGTTGGCTTCACCGGAGACGGAGTCGTCTTCGTAGTTTGTGACGAGTGGAAAGTCTGTGTATGTGAGTTTTGCGCCGAGGGATTCGAGCGTTTTGGCGGTGTTGGTCCAGAGGGCGATGACGGAGGGGGAGACGGAGGGGTGTTTGGCGTGCGGGTGCGTGTCGTGGCCTCCGATGTACATTTTGGGAACGCCGATGTGTTTTCCGCGGAGGAAGTCCGGGTTGCGGAGAGTGGTATAGTCGAGTTCTGGGGGTTGGGGGATCTGGATGTGGGGTTGTTCGCGGATGAAATCTCCAGTTACGTCGGGGTCTGGTGTGGCTATTACGTTTAGGAGTTCTAGCATGTCGTCCATGGATCGTGCATATGGTGTTGGCACGTCGCAGGTAACGTATAGTGGCCATAGGCCCCTGCAGCTGAGCAGTCCTTTCGATGGTGTATAGCATACCAGAGCGTTGTTGGACGCAGGACTACGTCCGCTACTCACAGTCTCACTTCCCATGCCGAAAGCCGCCATACTCGATGTCACAGACGTCGCCGCACCGTTCGAAGATCCGGAGGAAAAAGCAGCAGTGAGATATTTCTCGTTGTACGGCGACTCTGCACGCCCGTATAATCCCCTCTGCATGCCTCCCGCGGCCATGGGCGGCATGTTCGTCTTACCAATCAGTACAGCACCTGCATCTCTCAATTTCCCTGCAATGGCAGAATCGCCGCTCGACATGAGGCCTTTGAGTGCGGGAGAGCCGTTAGTAACACTCATGCCGGCAACCTTGTAGCTGTCTTTGATGATGTAAGGGATTCCTTCTAGGGGACGCGGTGGCAGACCTTGGGCTCGACGCAAGTCAGATGCTGCTGCTTCTGAGAGCACATTGGAATTAAATACGGTAAAGGCATTTAGACCAAGACGAATGTCGTATGTGGCGATGCGGTTGAGGTAGCTGATTACGAGGTCGACACTGGTTGTGGTACCAGAGTTGAGGGCTTGACGATGGTCGGCGATGCTGGCTTCTAGGATATTGAAAGGTGCTTTTGAAGTCTGGGTTTCTTTGGGCTTTTGGAATTGTGAGTCAAGACTAGCATGTGTTGTTGATTGAGACTTGCGTTGATGCCTTCCATCTTGAATGATCTGTGACGCAATCGATGAAGTACTGGTGTTGAGAAGAGATTTTGCTCTCTGTGTACGAGTTGCTCCAAGGATGTGTAGTTCTCTAGCTTAGCTGTTAGTTATCTGCTAACTAACGCAAGAGTAGATCGAAAGAATGCGATGATGTCGAGGTAGTCCCTCCCCCACTTATGCATTGGCGGCTGGACCTTCCATGTGCGGCTAGCCTAATGACAGTATATAAGTGTACTTGACCAGAAATCAGACTATATGTAGATGTGTAGATTGCAAGTCCACAGAATGTCCGAACGGGTAAAAGTATTACATGAAATGTATCTACGTACCACCTGTAGCTGGATGTAACTATTTGATGACAGAACGTAATATCAAGAAGCTCGAGAAATGGTAGGAGTCTGAGGTCATGAACAATCAGACGTCCACATTATCATCAGGATAGTTGTACAAGCCGATGATGATGTGGACGTCCAAGTCTTAAAGACCTCATACCCCATCACCCGTCCCAATGCCGATAACCGAACACAAGAATCACAGACACCAAACGTGTAACCTGTCCGCCAACCTCCCAATCCTACAAATTCCTCTACGCCGTACTCTCCCACAGCGCCTTCATCCTCGTACTGCCCGCGACCAAACCACAGATACCCATAACACCCAAGTTCCAACCCGGTATTCCTCCCTTAGCACTGCTAAAGTGCAGAGCCATAGGTAACCACGCACTCGCAATCATGAAGTCGGTCCACCACTTCTTATCAAACCTCTTATCCTCTTCATCCTGATACTCTGCCACCGCCCGCCCATCAGCAACCATTTGCTTCCGGATCGCCCTCCGCCTGCTATCAAGCTGCCACTCGCGCATGAGGCGGACGAAATCGCAGGACACGCCACCGAGCCAGCAGCGGTACGCAATGAGGTATAGACGTGCAGTCGTGGAGTCGCCCCGATTGAGCTTCGCGATTACGCTGGGGGGAACGACCCCCGAGTCGGCGAGGAGGCAGATGTTTTCTAGAGCCTGGTAGGCAAAGTAGCTGCTCGCTTGTAGCGTTGCCACTCTATGCAAGACGATGTCTGTCCCGAGTTTAGGACCCGCGGCCAGCGAGCGCAGCCATGCGTATAGCGGGAGCAAGCCGAAGAGTCTCAGTGTGGTGCGCGCTTTGGATATGAGGACTGCGAGCGCAGCAATGGGTGGTAGCGTGCCATCGTTTAGGATGACGGTAGCGGAGATCTTTGCATCGTCGCACGCTGGGCGGATGAGTGATAGAATTCTTGTCGCGAAAGCGGTGACTGCGGGAGATTTCGTTTGGGCGTAGGCGAGGATGTACAAGGTGTAGTTGAATGTGGAGAGGAAAGCTGAGAGACCACCGGGGGAAGCTAGCAACCTACCCACATTAGCTCATGGTACGAGAGCTTTCAACTTCCACCCTGACTTACTTGTTAAGTCTGAGGATCGTCTGATCGGCCTTCTTGACGCCAGCGAGCAGATCAGTTTTAGCCACGTCCCTTGGGTCGGCGCTCGGTGCTGCCTCTGCTATCTTATCGACCACCTCTTTGACCGAGGGCGCGTCGGACACTTCAGGTGCCTCATGCTGGGCGGCTTCGTCATCAGACATGGCAATTGTGGTTCGTATATGTAATGGTGATTATGGGGAAGGTCAGGAAGTTTGGGCAGCATGGGGTTAGGGGGTGGACTAATACTGTATCACGCTTCTCCGCACCCATGGTGGTTCTTACTGCCGTTCGTGGGCCGAGGTCTGACGTGCCAGCAGCGACTCGGAAGCTGACCCGCACCGTTGATCGTCGAGTACCGCGGCATCTTGGGCGGACCTCAACGCGCAGAATATTGCAATTGGCTAATTTTCAAACATTATTGAAAATTGAAGGGCCGACCCTTTCAAGGTTCTCTGCTTTCCGACCGATTGGACTGGGCGATCAGCGGCCCGCTAGCCTAGACGCCTACCTGGTTCTACGGAAGTCCATCTAAAGCTTCTATCGAGAATGTTATGCTACATAGTAAAGGATGGTTTTGTAAGTGACATCAAATTGGAGTTTTCTGCAAGACACGTAATATTCGTACATTTGAGACATGTGGAGTGTCACAAATGTCTAAAATCCACCCCAGACCCTATGGTCTATCACTCACACTGGTTCACAACCCGTGGAAGACGAGATGAGACCTGCTATGGGATTGAGGATTAGTGTTAGCCGTATAGTTCTGTCAGATGAAGTACAAGTTTGCAATCCCGGCAGTTATAGCTCAAGCCAAGAAGAAGATTGAACGGCCTTATGATTTAGGCGTGGCACTTAGTATGATGATGATCCCATACGTGACCTGGTTGCCACGCACTTGGACAATGTATTCGAGTTCCAGGACAAAGTACCGAAGACACTGGCATGGGAGCTCCCGAATCCATTAAGGTCGTGAATAAGTACCTTGTGTACCTCTATTGTCCAACCATTGCACAAAAGCCTTTCCAGAATTTCCCCCTGACTTAACCGGCACTTTCGACGATCGCGGAGGTAGTACCTAGAGCAGTACATTCAAAAGGTCGCAACCAAGTTCAGGTCTGCAGTGGGTTGTGTATTCTTAAGATAATGCCGTTCTGGTTGGACATGCCCTGGGCGCACACTGGCTGCAAAGTCAATGTGAAGAGCTAGGTACAATTGAAGCCATAAAGCACCTGGGTATCATGTAATATTTGACATCCGGTTACCCTGATGGATACAACTGTGGAGGCAGTCATGTATTAGGCTAGAGTTGGGATTTGCACTTATTTCTTTTAGTTAAGCGAAAATAGAATATTTGACAATTTGACAGCTTCATAAGGAGAGGGGGGAGGGAGAGAAGATTAAAGAAAATGTCGTAATTTTTACAAAGAGCCCCTGAGACAATGTGTGATATGCATCCGCTAGGCGAGGATCATGCTGCGAACACATGCTCGTGGCTGGTGAGCTGCATGGTCATGCAAAGTGGTGGAGTGATGGTGGAGGGGTGGAGGGGTGGAGAAGCCAGGCCGCACCTGGGTGTCATAAGATACTGGACAGTGTAGGTAAGCACAATAGACGTTTCTGGCGACTACAGTGGCCTTTTCACACTGCTATGTCCAGTATTTTATCCATGATACCTGGGTGGAGGAGAAGCCAGGCCAGGACGGGTTGGCGAGATGATGCGGGCCAGGGTCCACCCGCCAAGAGGCTGACGACGGTCGCGCTGCGGCGACTGCGTCCAGAGTTGAAACACCTTGTCGAAACCCGTCGCGGTGCCCTCTCATCAAGCAAATCCCCCCTCTGCGCCTTTTAAGTTCGCACTTGCGCAGTACCATTCTTACACTCGCCTTTTCTCCGGTTACAACTCTTCGCAACAATGGCTGGCCGATTCGTGCGCGCTTCCAAGTACCGTGAGTTGTTGATGCCCAGCCTTGTTTGGTCTAATGTTGACAATGGCAACCAGGTCACGTCTTTGGCAAAGGAACGAAAAAGGTAGAGTTGAGCTGCAGCTGCATGCATGGGTATATACTAATATCATGTAGGAGCAATGCTACGATAACCTCCGCATCTCCAGAAATGCTTGGGATACCAACCTGATCAAGGTCAGCACCTGCACGCGACCAAGGCAGACATGCGCTCACACTCCTAGGCCAATCCGGAATACATTTCAGTCAACTGGGAATCCAGCGGTGGTGGTGCTTTTGCTGTCATCCCAATCAACGAGCGAGGCCGCGCCCCCGACCAGCTTCCTCTCTTCCGCGGCCACACAGCTGCTGTCCTCGACACCGACTGGTACCGTGACACCGTCGACACCTAGGATAGCTGACGGCGCTAACCCTTCGCAGGAGTCCTTTCAATGACTCGCTCATCTCCTCGGCCTCTGACGACGGCAAGGTCTTCATCTGGAAGGTGCCCGAAAACTTCACCTTGTACACGGATGCAGAGGAGCCCGCCGATGTCGCGCCTGTTGCGAAGCTTAGCGGCCACATGAGGTGCGATCATACGCTTCAGTCTCAAAGCACATCTAACGTTTGTGTAGGAAAGTTGGCCACGTCCTCTTCAACACGGCTGCCGAGAACGTCCTTGCTAGTTCATCTGGCGACTACACTGTAAAGGTCTGGGACGTTGAGGCTGGTACGCCGCAGCTTACTCTCAAGCACAATGACATTGTGCAGTCGCTTTCCTGGAGCGCCGATGGATCCATGTTGGTCACTACAAGCCGCGACAAGAAGCTGCGCATATGGGATGTGCGTCAGGAAAAGCCTGCCCAGGAAGTGCCCGGTCACCCTGGCGCAAAGAACAGCCGCTGTGTATGGATGGGCGAAACTGACCGTATCGCGACCACGGGTTTCTCGCGCATGAGCGATCGTCAGCTCGGTCTCTGGGACCCGCGCAACCCCAAGGAGCCTATTGGCGGCTTCCAGATTCTCGATTCCATCTCTGGTGTCTGCATGCCCTTCTGGGACGACGGCACCCAGTGCTTGTACCTTGCTGGAAAGGGGTACGTACATTTTAACAAGCACGCAAATAGGTTGCTAACTGTGTCAGTGACGGCAACATCCGCTACTACGAATACGAAAACGACAAGTTTGAGTACCTCTCCGAGTACAAGTCCGGCGACCCACAGCGCGGTATTGCCTTCCTTCCCAAGCGGGGTATCAACCTGCACGAGAACGAAGTCCTCCGCTGCTTCAAGACCGTCGCCGATGCCTACGTCGAGCCCGTATCCTTCATCGTCCCCCGCCGATCCGAGATGTTCCAGAGCGACATCTACCCGCCTACGACTGGTCTCAAGGCTGGTGTCTCCGCCAAGGAGTGGTTTGGCGGTAAGACCGCGATGCCCCCCAAGATCTCGCTCGAGAGCGTGTACGAAGGTGAGGCGCCAAAGGAGGTGGAGAACGACTACAAGCCACAGCAGATGTCGCCTGTCAAGGCTGAGCCGCCCAAGCCGGCACCTGAGCCTACACCCATTGCTTCTCGTGGCCCTCCCCCAGCAATGAAAGACCACAAGGACTCGATGGCGTCAGCAGCTTCCAAGTTCGCTGACAAGGACGAGGCATCGGACAACGAAAGCGCTTCAAGTTTTGAGGAGATTCCGAAGCCAGCGGACCGCCGCACGTTTACTGCCGCACGACAGGAAGAGAAGACCAGGGGCCCCGTCATGACCAAAGAGCCCGAGGCAGTCAAGCCAACTCCTACTCATACCCCTACACCATCCGTATCCAGGTCTGCCGCACCCGCAGCATCTTCCCCCGCCTCCACCACTGCGTCTACCTCGACACCCAGCTCTGGCGGCCCCGCCACTGCCCTTCGTGATGCCTTGGGTGATATCAAGTCCCAGCTTGAGCAGCAGAACAAGGTCATGTCAGACCAATCTGACCAGATTGCAATCCTGCTCCGAGAGGTTTCTCATCTCAAGAGCAAGGTCGCTGCTGCGGAACCTTCTGATCGCGAAAAGGACGAGCGCATCAGGCAGCTTGAGCTTGAGCTTGAGGAGGCCAGGTCTTGAACATCAAGGTCCTAGTCGGCATATCCAATGCTGACGAACCTAGGAATCTGATTGAAGGCTTTACGCACTTGGTCAATCGCATAACTCTTTCCGAGAAGCCTTCAGTTGGATAGACATTGCTCGGAGTTCTGTGCAGCGAATCATTCTTGATGGGGCAGGGCCTTCTTGTGGATAGGACAGTCGGAGTCGAGCGTGTAGTGTGTGTGTGCTGATAGGAGACTGTCTCGTGTATGCGTATCTTAGGTGTATTCTTGTCGATAAGCTTGCTTTTATTAGCAAGGTGTTTGGGTTAGCGGCATTTTGTATCATACAAAAACAAAACATCCATCACTTTTTCAGACTTGCGGTCCAAAGTTCCTTCTGTTTGCTGTGCCTGTCACGAGTAAAGTTGGGGTTATGACACTATGCCGAATGGGGCTACAAGGCATGGCTCTGAACCTCACATCACTCGCCCTTCTGCTTCCTCCTTCACCTCACGCACCAAAACCTGTATCTAGTTTCACAAACACCTATCCCTAATCCTTACACTTTCATTTTATGTCGCGCAGCTGAGCGCAACGCTTGGCTTTTTGTATATGTCTTATTTATGCCATAGAAACAGTTCTATGATTGTGGGTTCAGCTCCTCTCTCACTACGGGTTATAGCGGTGGAATGATACAGGGAAGGACAGCAGTAGTTCATCAACAGACACTATCTTCTTTTGCATTGTCCGGGTCTAGTATTCCTCAATATCCATCATTATGGTCTACCGCTTTTTTTTCTCCGATCGACTGCACACATATCTCATTTTCATTTCCTTCTCCGTCCAATATCATACCCTCTACGCGTTCTATATGTGTCTGGGGTTCATTCTACGAACTTCCAATTCTGACGGCTTTTGTTGTCGTGTTTCCCTGCTTCTGTTTGTGTTGTGTGGGCGCGCTCAGGCAATGAGCTTTTAGAACTCTGTCCGAGTGCGACTTGATCATTCTGTCGCTTCCTTTTTTTCCGATTTGATAGGCCAATTTGATAGGCAGACATTATGGCAAGCTTGCTATTGCAATTTCTCATACTTGCGCATCATCACATCGCATCATGGCTGACCAATTGGTTCTGGTTGTACACGCAATGCGCGCAACTTTCCTCAGTGCACGTGGGTACCCAAAGCACAAAAGGCCAGTCATACACCTATGCGCAGAACAACTTGCGCATGATTGCCTATCTAGGTATTCATTTCACATTTCATCGCCCCAATTCGGGGTATACGCTAGCCTCCTATGGAATCATCACTGATCACCTTCGCCACTCTGAGAGCTTCCCAATACAAATAAATAGCGCACCTCCTGCTGCTTCCAAACACCATCTTTGACCGCGCAAACTCCCCAGAGAGCTTCAAGATCTCAGCTAAGAGCACCGCAGGTATGTCATATCACCACCGGACAACATTGGATGAATGCTAATGAGCTGTAGCGAAATGCGGCAGCGTCGTAGTTCAAAGACGATGCAGCAGCCACATACTCCAGAGATGCAAACTGCAAGGGCCGACACGTCTTCTTTGACCACGCTTCCCAGCTCCCCGCCGACGGGTAACTCTGGACGCCCTTATGCTACACCGCACAGCGCAGCGCAAGATAAAGCAATGAACGACCTCGACCCAGACTCGGACTCCGATGATCCCAAGTCTAGTAAAGAGCAAACGTGCCCGGGCTGTGACAACACGTACTTGAATGCAGCTGCACTAAATGTATACGCCTTTTGTTCGACACTGACTTTTCTCTTGCTAACATACGAGTAGGGGCACCTAGCAGACAGGAGGTCGCTTTGCGGAAGAAATCTCCACGAAGCTTCAATCTTCAAGAAGGTCTGGTGTTGTCCACGATGCGGTGTACAGATGGGCAAGAAGTACTCTACAGAGGTTCGTGATGCACTGATCCGGTTATCGTACACGCTACTGACACCACAAATAGCGCCACATCAAAGACTCTTGCTGGAAAGTTTGCAACGAGTGCTGCGAATCTGGGAAAGCTACATGTGACGCCATCCATAGCAACAAACCATGCACACACTGTACTGATGAGGGTAAGCCCTGCACCAAGCGCACTGGACTGCTGGAAAACTGCGAACCAGAGATGAACATGATTCCTATCGAACATGCACTGCACATCGCCCCAAAGTCGACCAAGAATGGAGCCATACCCGGTGGTAGACGCTTGCATGGTAAGCGAAAAGCCGTCACATCGCCAGAGCCCACCTCGGATGTCACGCATGAGACCAAACGCCCAGCAGTCTTGAAGAAGAAAGGGAACACTACGCCATCCCGTTCGCCTCTTCCTTCAACACCAAAGCTGTCTCCGGACATTGCAGGGGCCACGCAAGAGCAGGCGCGTCTATGGCGGGATGATCAAGGTTCGCTCCCTAAGGATGATCAAGGTGCGCTCCCTAAGCATGATCAAGGTGCGCTCCCTAAGCATGATCAAGGTAAGCTCCCTAAGTTGCCCATCCTAAGCAGCTGCTAACGAATACAAGAACCTCAGCCTGACAGAGTCGGTCTTCCAGGCCCGCGCAGCACCTTCACTCCAACCCTAATTCAAGAGCTGGAAGCCCAGCGTCTGCAGTTACAGCAAGCTCAACGGTTCCCAACCGGAAAGAATGGTGCACAGCAGCTGAATTCGAACTACCCACACATGCAGCTCATACAGCAAAGCCAGGGTTCAGCAGTCCCATCTGGATATCAGTACCAAACTCAACCTTGGTCATATCAGCCAGGCGGCGGCGTCCCAAGTAACGACCTCCCAATGCGCAATCTTGCTGCCAACATGCCGCTGGATGATGACACGGCCCACAAGCAACTGAGTGCCACTGTTCATAAGCTCCAACATGAGATGCAACGTTTGAAAGGCTTCGAGGGTCATATTCCTGCTGCCATGAGAGCAAAACCTCCGGTTCCAAACAACATCCAGCCATCAATGAGCAACTTGAACACCTTTGATCCCGAATTCAACTACGCACCTGGTACTATGTCGGGCGTTGAGCGTTTCCGTCGTGCACAGAATCAAGACATAGATGGCTTTCCTGCTGCTGTCAATAGTGCTCCTGGATCACATATGCCTTCGCGCCAGTCTTCGCCTTTTCCCCTACATCATCGACGTCGCTTGTCAACTCACAGGATGTCTTCCTTACAGCAACAGGAACTGGGTGCACTGTCCAACATCGTGGCGAAGGAATCCATTGTGCGAAATTCTACCAAGCCGGTATGTGTAATGACCTCCTCTCCTGTCTTCAAGTTACTGACTAGAACAGATTGCCATGCAACGCTCCACCACTCCGACCCCGGACAAGAAAGCACCCTACATGAGGCTCAAGATTCACAGCAACACGTACGATATCAACGGTAACCCCATCTTCTCGATCCTCACAATGCGTGCTTCGCAGAAGTTTGGCCCTCGTCTCGATGCCTACTGTCAACACCGTAAGAAGCAGTATGGCGTAGATTGGGATTTCTTCTACCAGTACTGGAGACATGATCAAGGTATACGGTTCATCAAAATCGAGTACGACATGGCCCCCGTAGATGTGTACGACAAGGAATTCCCCCTTCTCAGGCTGCAAGACATGGGCACGATCATGGTTGCAAGGGCCAAGCCGCGTGTCCTGACGGGTGTCCAGAACGATGGAACAAACATGTTTTCGCCAATGGACTCGCAAGTTTCGGAGGAAATCGTCGACATCACAGACGGCGAGACCCAGATCTACCAAGACGCCGGTACAATCACGCAGTGGCACCGTGACGTGGAGAGCAAGATGACCGAGCTAAGCATGCAGGTCAACAACCTCAACGCCGAGTTGGCAACTCAAAAGAGGGCGACGGAGCAGCAGACATGCATCGCCAAACAGTTGGAACTTGAAAACAGAGACTTGACAAGGAACAACCACATGCTCAACGGCTTGCTCGGCGCTGGCGGTCGACCTCCCATGCCGAAAGTCGCGAACCAGCAGCCCGTCCCTACTCAACGTTACCACACCCGACGCCCTTCAATCTCAGCCCCTCCGTACCAAACCTCGTTTGCTTCGCATCAGATCAACCCCCATATGATGCACAACTTACCGTCGCAACCGTCGCAACCGTACTTGCAACCCAGCCCCTTCTATCCCGGCCAGTTCACCGCCATCAACAGCAATGATTACAACAGCAACAACAACGTTGCCGATGCGCGCGACCGCCTTCCCAGTCATAGCGCCGGTCCGACCGAGCCCTTCCCCGACTACGACGAAAGCAAGGTCACAGACGATGCGCTGAGGCTGCTGATCGGCAGGACCCCCGGACCTGAGCTGGATAATCTTAACATGAAGCAGATCTTGGAGCAGCATGGGGTTGGCCCGTTGAGTGCCAGGGCCACGATGTTCGCAGAGCAGATGGGTTGGACTAGGCCTAAGGTTAAGGTTGAGAAGGATGACGGTGAGGAAGACGAAGACGATGAGGAGGGAGATGAGGAAGGCGACGAGGAGGAAGACGGTGAGGAAGATGGAGAGATTGCGGAGTAGGCTGGTGAGCAAAGAGACGTGACGCGTCCGATGCCGCAGAAGGCAACCGAAGGCGTGATTGAAGTTGGTATCCTTTGAGATGCAGGCTAGTAATGTGGTAGCTCTGAGTAAATCCTCATGGGTATCATAATTCAGCTACTCAACCACGAGTGAGTAATCACGGATAAATGTACGAATACAAGCATCATGCTCAGATTGCTTTCTTCTTGTGTCTTCTCAACGTGATGGTGAATAAAAGGTGTACAGGTACTACTTACAATCGAAACAAACGCTCCATATCCGCTCGCACTCATCTTCCTCGACATGTATGAAACTCGTATTTCCCTTCCTTCTTTTCTCGTCTTATCTCATCACTTCTGTTCATCTTCTTCACCGCACACTAAACAGATGTCTCTTGTATAATGATATCATTACTCTTCATATCCAATCTCTAGCCATGACGGCTATCCATTAATCTAGGGTGTGTAGTTGATAAGGTTATAGGTTTACTTCCTATCGTATTCAATGCCAGACCTCAGTAATGCGAAAGACCAACTCCAACAACCATCCCAGAAAACGATTTGACTCCGATGACGATCGTATGCTCCGCTAACAAAAGAACGCCATGCCAATGCGCCTGAAAACAAGAACGTGGGGCGAGGCAAAAGGGTAATGTACCGGTACCTCCCTCCCCAAAACCCCATCAAAAACGTACCATCCCCCATCTATTCCTCATACCCCCCCTCCTTCCCACACTTGACATGCACAATTCTCCTCTCACCCTTCCCATCTACAACCGCCGCCGTCAACTTGCCTCCACTCGCACACCCCGTATCCAGTCCCCACGAGTACTCATGTAAATTAAGCCCCTTTTTTCTATTATGCCCATACACGACCGTCGTCGTCTCGCCATGCTTCATCTTCTCCTGGCGATGATTCCAAAACTTCTCCCACGGCGTGCCTCCGTGCTTTGAACTAGGGATGCGGGTTTTGAGGTCGATGCTGCGCATGTTCATGACGTGGAAGGGGTCTTGGTCTTCGAGGGGGGTGTCGGGGACGAGACCGGCGTGGACGGCTACGAGGGTTGTTGTGGAGGAGGAGGAAGTGCTGGTGCTGTGGTGTTTGGAGGGGATGGGGATTTGACCGACGCGGAGGATGACCGGGCAGTGGGAGAGGTAGGAAATTTGTTTCTTGGAGAATTGTTTGGCTAGGCGGCGGAGGGCGGGGTTGGCGTGCGCAGATGCTGTGGCGGACTCGTGGTCGGCGTCGTCGAGGAAAGATATTGTGGCGTCTTCGTCCTCTGGCATGACGAGCATGTGGCGGTCTTGTGCTTCGGCGATGGAAAGCAGGAGTTTGTCCTCCCAGTTTCCGCGCACGCACGATGCGCCGACTTTCTGCGCGACTTTGATAACGCCGGCGGAATCAGGGCCCTTGGCTATCATGTCGCCGACGAGCACAACATGATCGTGTTTAGAGTTGAAGTCTACCTTTTTGAGGAGGTGCTCGAGTTCTTGTTTGCAGCCGTGTACGTCGCCGATGAAGATGAGGCGATTGTTGTGTTTGGGAAGGTGCTGCTCGTCCATGTCGCTAACTTGTATCATGCCTTTGAATTCCGGGCGCACGTTGTTTCCGTAGCTCATGGTGGGTTTGTTGTCCATAAGGAAGAGTTCTGCTTTTTGGGCGGCGCGCCGGGGGCCAAAGTGCGTCCACCAACTTATTAAGAAGAGGATGAAGATGACGAGGTATGTTAGGCTGTGTCGTTTTATGCGCCGCGGTATCCGGTCGCTGGTCCGTGTGATTGCGGCTTGGAGTTTTGGCGGGATTAGGAAATCGTCGTCGCGTCTGTAGAAAGCGTCTTCTTCGTCGGATACATCGAGGTCGTCGCGATAGTCTGGGATCTGCTCAATGAGTGGGCGTGGCCGGTTTTGCGCATACGCCGGCTGTTGCGGTTGGTCGCGGTACGTCATCGGTGTTGACGACATTGTTTGGTTCGTTGTACCTGAATGTACGGTGAAGATGTATGGTTAAGGGTAATGATAGGGCGAATGTCTTTAATGCTAATCGATAAGCGTATTCATAGAGTACTGGCTAGCCAAGTGATTCGTGTCAGCAGTGAGGCTGCTCTTTTCAAGGCGGAAAGAGCAAGGCAAAGGCCGCTTTCATAACAATTCCCATCCCCTGCCCGTTTCGCCTTGTCGCAGACCTCTAGCGGGCTCTTGAGGTCCCGGGCCTTGTTGCCGCCACCAACGGCCTTGGCAGGACCCTCTTTTGCTAGGCTAGGGGCAATTCCAAGCAAAGTGAGGCTTGTTTTGAGGACAAAGTAAAAGTGGTGCACGTTGCACGTAGCCTGGAGGCTTTTCGTATGAGGTGGTGTTACATATCGCGACATTGCCGCCTTGACTGCGCTAGTGCAATCAGGTAACTATCAGGTGCAATCACACCCTAACCATCACTTCACCTCCACCTCAACCATGCTGTTCAAGAAATCCACTCCGCCTCCCACTCCCCTGAAGGTTGTCGTCTTGGGGGACTGGAATGTCGGCAAAACATCTTTCATGGACATGGTACATTGATGTCGCATCACCTACCCATCAGCATCTAACACCTAACCTCAGTTTCTCCACGGAAAGCCGTTTATCCGCTACCCTCTTGGTGAAGAAGAAGCCATGTCGCAACGTACCATATGTTATGCCAACCAAGACTGGAACCTCTCACTCATGGATCTCGTTACGCCCATTCACATGTCTTCCAAATATCGTGAAGTATTCCACGGGTACCTAAGTAGCGCCGATGGTGTCATTCTGCTCTACGATATCACAGACCGGCGTTCGTTTGAGGATCCCAATAGCCCCGAACACAATAACCCTATCAAGGACATGTACGAGGATGGCTTGTATTGTCGCAATAGTGTGTTTACCAGGAAAGGCACCGAAGGCGGGATGGTGGGGTTGAAGAAGCGCTTTGGATGTGTGCTAGTAGGGAATAAGAGAGATTTGGTTGATCAAGATGAAGACAAGCGGCAAGTCAAGAAGGAGATGGCACAGCAACACGCAGCGAGTCAAGGCTTCAAGCACTTTGAGATAAGTTCGCTGGACCGAGGAGAGATTGAGCGTGTTATGGAAGCATTGATAGACAGAATCCAGAAAGCGAGATGGATGGATGCACGAGACGTCGAAGATGGAAAGTCAGATGCTAAGAAAGAGAAGGCGGAGCGAGGCGAAAAGACCTTGATCAGTCGGATCTTGAAGATAAAGTAGGGCTTTGTGACATTCATATCGTTTGGTGGTTGACAACGCAGGTTTGCCCACTGAAGTCCGGGTACCGGCTCGTTAGCTCTACGCTTGCACTTGCTAAACATCAGCACCTTCATCAGCATCTACCAGCTCATGTCTCGCGTAAACTAACAAGTTCCAAGTACGGCACCATATAAGCCGGCTGAAACGTTGATCTTTACACTTTCCAAAGACATCCGAGCTAAAGATGGTACGCGAAAGGCGTCACTCCATACATAGCTACACCGTCTAAGCCGAAATAGGTCTAGCGGCTTCTGGTTGCCGTAAATCACTTTTTGACCCCAAAGCCACGCCGTCAGCAGATGGTCCACTGAACAGCGCTTGTATCAATTATCTACTACGAGAATCCAATTAAAGTATGAGATTGCCATATGTCCCGAAACATCAGCTCGTATTTGGCTTACACATGAAAACTGGGGTATCAGGCCTCCCCATGATGATCGCATTTGGCCCTTTCCACGACTACTTTGAACACGGCTTCGTGTTCTCCGTTCGCTATGGTTCTTCATAGGAAATTTTGCTGGCTTTTGTGGCGTTCCGTTTCCGCTTTACCCGTGTCCCGCACCCTTCCCGCAGCAAGTATGCTTAGTAGTCATCGGCGATTTTGCTTAGTGAGCTTAATTGTTTCATAGGATCTACATACACTTACTCGGGTTTTGCTATCGGGATATGGTGGTATGACTCGGTGTATTGTATCTATGGTATAGCTTGATGGCTGGCCAGCTACGTACTCCGTGACATGGAACTAGTAAATGTTCGTTTTTTGAAGCAGGATGGAAATTGAATGAGCTTGATGACTGGGTATAACGATTGATGAGATATAGTATTAGATATAAAGTTTATCATGGCTACCTGTTCATATTGCAGGCTCATGAGGGCGTGAGTATACATTAGGTGTATGTCAGTTCAGTGTTAAGGACCCCGATCCCATCGAATACGAGCGCTCCACCCACAACAGTAAAGACAAGGTTCATATGACAAGAAATCAGTTCAATCGAGCCTTGATCGACCTTGATTCATGCCGTGAACTCCGGTCCAGCTCAGTAAGCCATCCACCTCTTGACACAACGACGTCACCCTCTGTGTGCGGTGACCAGCTCAAATCCGTTATTCGAAGTATATAAGAGCACTCCATGAAGAAAATTTCAGAAATCGCCCAACAGCTTCGAGACAACAACACAACAGCATCACACAAACACCACACTCAACGCTTTCAACTCATCAACAAGTAAGCCCCCTCCCTCCTCCAACCCTCACCTCACCCACTAACACCCCCAGTACCACAACCATGCAACTACCACTCCCACTCCCCATCCTCCTCTCCCTCACCACAACCACCACGGCCCTCTGGATCGCCACAGCAAACATGGACTACCAAACCGCCACTCCCGGCGGCGCCATCTTCCCCTCCCCCTTCTGCCAAGTCGGCAAAGGTGACACCGCCGAGCAAGCCCACTCGCAAGCCGCCCGCACCGTCGACGCCACCGCCATCATCGCCGGCGGCCACTGCGACCAGCTGCCTTACCAGCACACGAACCAGTTGGGCGGGTTCTGGGATGATTATGGAACCGTGTTTTATGTTGATGGCGATTGGCAGTGGTATTGTAACCCGGGGACGTCGAGTTCGGGGTATTGTGATGCTGGGGATGGTGCGCCGAGGAAGAAGAGGAGTGTGGGGTTTGAGGGCTAAGTGTTATGTGGGAGAGAGAAGGAGAAGGGATACAGGCTGTGGTTTCACTCTTTTAGCTATGGGTCTTTGTTAGAATTAGGGGGAAAGTCTGTGTAGTTTTGAAAATCAAATACGCTCGTTAATGGAATTGATTGATCGTATTGTTGACCTCACTGTTCTCTATTATAATTTTATAGCGTGACAAAGACTCGCATTTTCGATGCTGTCCTATTATTTATATTAGTAAAGTCAATCATACACATCCCTACGTACCCCTCAATATCTACACCTCACTTCGAGGACAGTTAGAAGCTGTAACTGCTGAAAAGTTACTAATTAAGGGGCTAGTGATTCTTATGTGAGGGAGAACAAAAGTAATAGACACTAAATAATTAACGGGTTGTTACTAGATTACGCTACAAATGGGCAGTCCTGGTTACAACCATAAATAATCCCCATCTGCCGGTGATACTCTAGATCTGTGTCGTTCCACTGCACCATGTCCAAACAGGTACTGTAGGCTCTCATGATCCAGAGTGCTACATACTGCCTATCGTCTAGCCATGCCTATCTTGTAGACGCCGAACAAGATTTCTGCTCGATTCGGCTCCGCAGTGTAGCCACCTGCATGCAACTGAAGTCAAACGCAGTAAGTGATCGTCCAAACAGCTTATTCTCACCGGATATAAGGCTGAAAAGTACATGTTACACAGCCAAGAGCATCTCTGCATGTCGATAAGGGACTAGGTAAGCAGCGCATAACCGAGCCGCTTAGCAGTTACTAGTAACCAACCACGACATGCGAGTGAAGACGATAGATTGGAACTGCATATCGGGCGTAGGCGGGGCGTAAGGATATTCCGTCATTGAGGGTGAGCTTATGAAGGAACTTGGGGATATAATGGCGGATGCAGGATCGGCTTCTGTGCTGTCAGCTTTGCTTGTAGAGAGGTAATACTGTTCACTGTACTTTTAATAATTCGTCTACTAGACACCCCATACTTTAAACCAATTGATATATCTCGAGCCCAAGATGACAGATCAAACACCCGTATGGTTTATCACAGCAGCAGCCAGTGGCTTCGGCAAAGCAATGGCCCTGGAAGCTCTCTCACGCGGCCACAAAGTAATCGCCAGTGGCCGGTATATGTCGCGTCTAGTCGACCTCGAAACGGCAGGCGCAGACATCATGGTCCTGGACGTATGCAGTCCCCTGTCCGACATCGAAACTGTAGCCGAAGAAGCAAACGCGAAATATGGCTACATCACCCATCTCGTCAACGTAGCCGGCTATGTCCTCGTCGGTGCCGTAGAAGAAACCTCGTTCGTCTCCCTTCTCCAGACAATCGGACAGACAACTAACAACCGTCACACAGTCCTGAGCAAGACCTCCGAGCCTTCACCACAAACGTCCTCGGCACCCTAAACGTAACAAAGGCCTTCCTCCCCCACCTCCGCGCCCAGACTCCGCAACAATCAATCGATCGACATGATTGATTCCTATATAGGTTAAAGAGTTACTTTATTAGGCAGCCTTTAACCTAGATAGGAATCAATCATGCCGATCCGATTGATTGTTGCGGAGTCTGTCCGCGCCACCCCGGGGCACCGCACAATCTCAAACTTCGGCTCCGTAGTCTCCTGGCAGGGGGGCCCCGGCAGCGCAATCTACGTGGGCACAAAATGGGCTGTATCCGGTATCTCAGAGTCTCTACGCGCGGAGCTAGCGCCCTTCGGCATCAATGTGATGGTGATTGAGCCGGGATGGTTTCGCACGGGGATTCTGGGAAAGGGCGTTCCGGTGTATAGTGAGAAGTCACTTGGGGTTTATGAGGATGTGGGGAGGTTGAGGGAGATGCTGGGAGAGGTGGATGGGAAGCAGGTGGGCGATACGGGGAAGGCGTGTAGGGTGGCGGTGGATGTGTTGACGCGGTGTGGGTGTGGCGAGGGGAAGGATGTGCCGATTCGGTTGGTGTTGGGGAGGGATGCGTTTGAAGTTATCGGAGAGAAGTGTAGGGCGACGTTGAGGTTGTTGGGGGAGTGGGAGGGCGTGGTTGGAGATACAGATTATGATTGATGGAGTTTTCCGACTTGCACCTCCACTTAGCGAAACTTCAGATCCTTACCTAGGTAACTTAGCTGTGGAGCTAACGGGTACAATTTCAACCAGTGTTTTTATCGTAGCACAAGACAATATAGGAACGGAGAAATAGTAAACGAAAAGTAGTAATGAAGCATCCTACGAGCAAGTCGTGCTAACATAAATAGGTAATTTTCAATATTCTGGGGTAAAAGACAGCAGATTGCGCAAGCCCATTTCATGTAAGTGGCTGCACAACAAGTCAATGCGTCTATTCAGGCCCGGCAGTCAACTGTCAGCGTTGCAACGCATCGATTGATATCAACACAATTCGCAGTCAGTTGGCAGCTTTCACAAGCCATGACGCAATTGCCCACACGAACCCGGTTCTTCTTCGGCATCCTGCAGAACCAACCACCACACACCACACCACTAACCCCACAACGTGCCCGCGACCAAACCAAAACCAAGCCACGCACCGACACCCGAGTAGCGGCCGTTATCTGAACAAGCTCAAGCTTGGACGACAAGCCACTATGTGGGTAACATGCGCCAGGAACAGGTTTTGCGTACCTGCGTGTGTGGATATTTTGTAAGCTAGTGACGGCATAGCGTAGACGACTTAAAATGGTAGATATGTAGGAGAGCTGTGCGACGTTAGCGCTACTGTAAGGTCCAATTCCAAACTATATTGTCAGATTAGTTTTTAATTGTATGATTATACACTGAGCGCGTTCGCGACTGCGACGACGATGCGCTCGCCATCCAAATCTCGGAACGAGAAAGACACTATCACCAAGATACAAGAACCCCAAGCCATTCCTCACAACTGCATGAGCATGGAGAAGACCAGAAAAGAAACCACCACACCACTCTTTCTCCTCCCCCCGGCACCAACCCGAAATCCCTCAACCCGTATCCTCGAACCTACCAGAGCGCCCTCAACCCAAGCCCGCAAACATGACTATCCCATCAACCGCGGAAACTCCACCACCTCCAAACCAACCGCCAATGCCCAACCTCAACGCCCCGCCCTCTCACGCCGCCGCACAACAGCCCGAACCCGCTACATCGACATGCTCCTAGGTCTCGACTCCGTCCCACCCTTACATAACATCCTCGCCTCGCTATCCGTCTGGATTCTGCTAGCAGGCTACATCGTCTTCCCGGCAACCTTCACCGCGCTCCGCCGCTCCGAAAACACCTCCTCCTCCAGCACCTCATCGTCTCATCTCAAAGCCGCCGCCCTCTCCACCGTGCGCAATATTCCCCTCCTCTACGTCGCAGCCTTTGCCTGCGGCATCGGCGTATGCGGGTGCTTGTATCTCTGGTACGCACATCGCAAGAACTACGTATGGGTCATCAATCGGATTTTCCTGCCTGCGCTGCTGAATAGTATAGCGGGGTTGATTAGTACGATTGTGAATATTTATTCAGCGCAAGAGGGGCAGTATAGTGTCACTGGTAGGGTGACGATTGTGGTGACGGCGGCGTGTTCGGTGGTCGCTGCGGGACTGTTCTTGGTGTATAATACGGTTATGTTGAGGTTGGTTAAGAAGAGGCATGATAGAGAGGTTGAGGCTGTGGAGAAGGAAGCAGGGAGGAGGGATGGGGTGGATGAGGCATGATGAGGGTGGAGATTCATTGTATTATCGTTACTTGACTATCTTTCGTTACTCGTGGAAACGACTGGCGAAGAGCACTTCTTCGCTAGTCGCTGTCTATCGGATATTGTTCATCATCATTTCGAGAGCATGTACTACTCCGAGTATATCATACCAGATTCATCCCTCCCCTTCTTCCTTCGTATCATATATGTGCCTCACATCACGGTCTAGCACGCCCCTTCTCCTGATCGAGTGGGACAGTTCCTTGCCATATGGCCCTGTCCATTACAAACATAGCATACCCACTGGGCTTTCTTACTGGGCTTTTTGACAGACGCGTCAGTGTCACCGTTGACAAACGACGGATTAGTTGGCATGGAAACAGTGTCAATATCATTGGCTTCGTCGTTGGTCCTCGGGCGAGATTTACGGGACTGTCTCTTCTTGGGCTTGTTCGCCTTGGATGACGTTTCGGAGACAGGCGCGTTTCCGGTGGAAGTCGCACTTACGTCGTGCTCGACCTTTGGGTCCGAACGAACTGGTAGCTTCACTACGATCTTCTCAGCTACTATTGTCGGTGGCAAGGGTTTGCTCATTGCCTCGACGGCCGGAGCCGGCTCAGCAGGAGGAGGACGAGACGTGACTTTGGCGGCGCCGTTGAGTTTAGCCTGTTTCTTAACGCAATCACGAGCCAGATGACCTCGCTGATCGCAAAAATAACACATGGGTCCCTTCTTGTTTGGCTTCTTCGTGGTATTGGTAGCCATCGCGAGGACAGGCCTATCGGGAGTGGGCGCAGAGGTCTTCTCGGCTTGTTGGTCTTCGATTCGACTTGCTTTCTTCTCCTCGGCCACCCGCGTCCTTCGCTCTTTCGCTTCTCGTGCTTTATTCGCCTCCTGTGCCTTCCGCTCCGTGGCCTCAAGAGCGGCCTTTTTCTTTCGCAACTCTTTCTCAAGACGCTCTTTAGCCGCCTCAGCCGCACGCAACCTTGTCTCAAGCTCTGTGCGCTCTCTTGCCTCACGTTCCATCTTCTCCTTGGCTTCTCGCTCGGCCTTCTCACATGCTTGCAATACCCTCGCCTCGCGTTCCATGTTCTCTTTCGCCTCACGCTCGGCTATCTCACGTTCCATTTGGTTACGCACCGCCTGTTCGCGTGCCTGTTGCTCACGTTCCATCTTCTCTCGCATCTCTTGCTCACGTGCCTCACACTCGGCAGCCTCATGTGCTTGACGTGCCCTGGCCTCTTTGGCCTCACGCTTCTTTTTCTCACGTATCTGTTGCGCTTCTCGTTCCTTTGCTTCCTTTTCTTGTTCTTCTTGTACATTCGTCCCGTTCTCCCCTGATAATATCATTTGAGCTGCTTTCTCCAAGGCAGTCCTCTCCTTCGTGGCCTTCTTCCGGGCAGCCTTCTTCTCGCGTGCCTCTCGCTCACGGGCATCTTTCTTCTGTTGTGCTGCCTCACGTGCGGCCTTCTCTCGCGCTGCCTTCTTGCGTGCCGCTTCTTCTGCTTCGGCCTTTTCTCGTGCAGCTTTCTCTAGGGCAGCTTGTTCGGCGGCGTCACGCTTGAGCTTTTCCTGTTCCTGGCGTTGTGCTTTCCGCTCCTCTTCTTGCCGTTCAGCTTCAGCCTTACGCTCAGCCTCTTCTGCAGCCTTTCTCGCAAGCTCTTCTTCGTCTTCAACTTGATCTTCGTCACTCGACTCTTCTCCCGATTCAGATTCGGGTCCAGGCTTCGGTTTTGACTTCTTCGCCTTCTTTGCCGCCTTGCCCTTCTTGCCTTTCTTTTTGGTCGCTGCGTCGGTGTGCACGAAAGCGAATGGTTTTTTTAGTGTAGACGACTCGATCTTTCTCTTACAGCCTTTGCAGGCAATGGCGCCTCCACTGGGACAGCGGAAGCTGAATTCTGAAACCTGTACGTTGCAAAAGGTGCACTTTTGTCTTCCCTTTTTCTTCTCCCATCCCACATCGATAGTTCCTTCCATCTTCACACTTGCTTTGTGCAGCTCGGCTGCGTAATCACGTTGTAGGCTCTCAACCCAATCTTTAGCCATGGCACATTTCTCCTCCATGCTGGAGATGCGAATACCATCGCTTTTGGCCTGTCGCTGCTCAGTGGCCTCCTTGAGTTTCTCAAGGCAGCGCTTGTTGATCGCTTGTCGCCTCTTGTTTTTCTGCTCGTGCTCGAAGTGATTGGATTGGTTCCACCGACGTTGTGCACGTATATGCTCCCTCAGCCAACCATCCAGGTCTTCCTCTTCGTCCGATGAATCCTCGCCATAATAGCCATAACCACTGTATCCGTAACCACCAGGCATGTAGCTGCTATGTGCGTAGGCGCCCCCAAACGGAAAACCGTATGACGAGTATGGACCATAATCCCAGAAATCTTCTGGGTCGCTGTCGCCGTCATCATAGTATTCGTATCGTGGCTCTGGCTGAGACCGACGTGTGTTTGCCTTGCGGTCTGCCTTGGCTTTTAGATCAGACTCCATCTGCTGCTTGATCATCTCAGCGTGTTTCTTTTGCTGCCAATCATGAGGATCACGTTGATACTCGGCGAGGTCTATTCGATACGCTGACCACTCGCGTATGACATTCGAATAGCCTTTGTCGTACTTGGCTTTGGTCTCCTCGTTCCTCAAGAGATCCCAGGCTTCGTAAATGCGACGGAAGTCGGCCGCATCGACAGCTTGACCCGGCGCCTTCTTGTCTGGATGATGTTGCAAAGCGAGGCGGCTGAACGCGACCTTGATCTCGGCTTTCGAGGCTGCTGGGCTCACACCAAGATCAGTATAGGCGTCCGCGACCTTGGGCTTGATCGGCTCCTCTGCGAGCAAAGAGTGTGAGGAGCTCATGGCTGATTATCAAATGTGTGATATCAAATGTGTGATATCAAATGTGTGATATCAAATGTGTGATATCAAATGTGTGATATCAAATGTGTGATATCAAATGAGTGCCGTGCTGGACAGCTGATGAGCAAGCACAACACGACTTGCGAGTGAAGTTGAGGTGGAGCGGCACAGCACCGTGATAACGGTTGCAGTTGTGTGGGGGGGGGGGGGATTACCGAAAGTTCCAGATAAACGCGTACTAACTCACTAGCGTGGTGCGGCAACGCGCTATTGTGGTTTTCGAAATACCTTGAGCCGCCTGGATCTGGTTAGCTTGGTGCCCAAGAACATCAACTCCCATAGTAATTTGTTAGTAAATTAATGCAGCAGCCGTTTCCCACCTCCAGAAGCCCATGAAGCTAGTCCTGTACTCTAAATCGTTCGTGTATAGCGTTTTGTTTGTGTGGAGCTTGTTGCGAGCTCAATCTAGCTGCTGTTGGGATGCCGCCCAAGCGCCAGCGTAAGCCGAAGCAGCCATTCGATCAAGGCGTTAACCCGTCCTCCCAGAAGCGTAGAGCGCCAGCAACTAGACAAAATCCTACCCATTTAACGCCTAAACGTGTCCGCCGTGAGGCGCTGCCGTCGCCTCCAGCGACTGCCCCGCCGCGCCGTCAAAGCCCGTTGTCCGAGCCTGAGCTGCAAGCCACCCAAACAGCTGCCTCCGCGCAAGCTGAAGATATCGTTGGCGAGGATGAGGATACTTTCGAGGATGGAGATGGCGATCCGCTGCCTGAGGATGAGGATGAGATCGCTGCTAAGGGCGCTGCCGGTAGTGTTGAGGATGAGGGAGAGCCAGCGTACCGACGTCAAGAAGGCACTCCATGGCTGCCTCGCTCATCGCAAGCGCTAGAGGATGAGGTTAATCCTGTACTGCGCGTTAGGTGGAGGGCTTGCCTTGGTGGTGATATGGAGAAACACTTTATTCCTGAAGCTGCCGATAGCGAGCACGGCGTACGGCTGTACTCGCTGCATTTCGACGACCTATGGCAGTGGGTAGATGACGTTGTTGCAGAATTACGGCCAAAAAGAGCGAAGATCTCATCTGTTTGCACTGTTGTTTACCCAGCTAAGCAGGCCAAACGCGAGCGCGCGATAAAGCGATTGCGGCGAGGTGTTGATGCAACGTGGAATAGCTTTCAGCGCCTTGTTGTAGAGGTTGATAACTATGTCAGCGAGCCAGTAAACGTCGATTTCGAGCTCATCTTGGCTGAAATTCCAGGGGAGCAGCAGCCGTTGCCAACGGTTGTCGACGGTCCTCGTCGACGCACCGCAACGGTGATTCAAGAGGAGGGGCTTGCTGGTGTAATAGCAGCTGAACAAGCAGGTAGCGGGCATGCTATTGCTATCCGGGATAGATGGCGCTGTACAGATACCCATTGCGAGAACTATCCTTATTGCTGCTGGATGGCGCCAACAGCGAGGCAGCCAGCGCGCTTCGAAGATCACCTCTTTGTCAACGGCAACATTATCTCCATGTGGGCAAGAGCAATTACAGCGAGAAGGGCAACGTACGATGAGCCATCTGATGATGTACGGCTTGCAATTTTGAGAGCAAAGGACCTGCGGGTGCATGAGAAAACGCGCAAGTTGCGGGCGGCTGGAGATGGCGACGATGATATCAAAAGCTTAACAAAACTGCTCATCGTTGGACAGCTTGAGCGGATGAACAGGCAACCTCAACAGGAGTCTAACTTGCAGGCAGCTGCACCAACGATAACAAGAGCTGAGGTATCTAGTGCATCTCAGTGGGCGCCTATCCGATATGATCATGAGCAGGAGATTAACGAGCATACTAGTAATTTCTTTAACTACCTTAAGTTAAAATTTCCTACAGTTGGAGAGGACATTAACGAGCTTTATAAGACTCTTGTTATTGACGGAGCTATGGATATCAACCTCTTGATGCAGCCATCTGGTGATATCTTGAAGTTGTGGACGCAGCATTTCAAGCAGCCTTCTGGCTGGTTTTTCACGCTACAAAACACTGCAAAAGAATGGCAAGCTGGGTACCAGGGTCTCACAGATCGTAACTGGAGACGAGTCGAACGTTGTAAGAAAAGAGAAGAGATTGCGCGCAAGAAATTGGTGGTTGAACCGTCTAGCAGTGTTGTGGAGGATGATGGCGAGAATGCTTGAAGCTTAGTGGCCTGAGCGTTTTTGGTGACAGCGGCCCGTGCCCGCTATAGTGTTGAGGTTTTTCAGGCGTTTCAAATGCGCTGCAACAATAGTCTATTTGGATAGCCCTATGTACAACACTACAACGTTATGCGATTATAACAGGTTAACTTCCTAAGATAGTTCTATATGTATAGAAATAGCTCTTATTTTTTAGAATTATTAAATCGCTTTTGTGGGTTGCGCATTAAGGTGTAATCGTTCGCATTTGTATGGTATCATCTACCTATAGAAACGTACTGTGGCATCCATTTAAAAGCACAATTAATAGGGATAGCCACACCTATGGAACCAGCTTCTGCAGTTAATATTACAGCACACCAGCTGCGCTGCATACTCAAGAAAGACCCCAAAGTCAATGAAGTTCTCCGCTTGCGCTGAATTCCTTTTCATCCACCCCTTGAGCTGCTTAAAGCTCTTCTCGATGGGGTTGAAATCTGGTGAGTATGGCGGCAGATACTCAAGGAGTACTCCAGCACTTTGGCAAAGCACCCGTACACGCTCTGATCGATGGATGGAGGCGTTATCAAGCACGATTACTGAGGCTGGCCCTGGGTGAGGATTGCAGAACGGCAGCACTTGAAACTCTAAGAAGTCTTCTAGGATCTCAGATGTAATCGCGCCTTGAAAGATCTTATAGCTTATGTAGCCATCTATCGTCATGGCTGGCAGCAGCGACCACCGTTCTGATCGCCTGAAGCTGTGTGATAGCTCCACCGGCTCCCCGATTGGAGACCAGCCATACTTGCGGTCGCCCGTACGCTCATTGCAGGCGCTCTCGTCCAACGCAACGATCTGCTCCGCCTTATAGTGTTGCGCCATCCTGGCAAGATAGAGGCGGCGGAGTGGCTCACTCTGCTCCTTTGCCCGCTTTGTTGCAAGCTTGCGAGACCATCTCATCTTCTCTAGCTCTCGGTAAACGCTCGCAAGGCTTATCCTAACGTCGTACTCGTCGTACAAGAAGTCCCTCATCTCATCCATGTATGCGCCCGGTGAGCCATTGAGGTATGCCTGAAGGCCTTCGCGCTGAGCTTGCCGGAGTATAGATGGCCGCCCAAGTCGAACGCAGCGCGGCGGATAAGGCACGCCCCAAAACTCTAAGCTCAACCTCAGCTTTGCTACTGTGTTACGGCTCGCACCTGTAGCTCTAGAGATGGCTCGATCACTTTCGCAGGCAGCAATTCGGTCGAGGATAGCCTGGAGAACAGCGGGCTGCAAGCGGTGGCCGGTGCCTGGCATCGCGATGAGATGGGCTCGAGAAAATTGCAACACCAAAAACGCGAGTCAGTAGAGGCGATCGCAGCAAACAATGAACTTCAAATACGTTGTGGGTGTTAGAAAGCGTGGCTGCATCGATTTACTAACAAATTACTATAGGAGTTGATGTTCTTGGCCACCAAGCCAACCAGATCCAGGTGGCTCAAGGTATTTCGAGAAACACCCATATCAGGTGCCCTTGCCTCTAACCCAGCCATTTACTTCGACCCACTATCGCCGCGTGGAGTAACGCGCTAGATGAACCCCATGGTCACACACACTATGCACGAACGTGATGAATTTGCCTACGGTTATTTGTCATTTTTACGGTATTATGGTACACATGAGGGAGCGCTTGCGAGCCGATCCATACCGCTTTTAGCACTCCATTCTATCTATCCTCTCATCGACAGTCCACGCGTCTCCTAGCACAACGCGTAGTGGTAATGTTTATATGTTATTAACTACAATAAGCCCCGTTCATTCTGATGTTTTTACTCTGAACTAGAAACCATTGTGCAGCACAACATGTAGTCTTCACCAGAGCAGTTTAAAGCTGGCAAGCAGGGTCATTTTCGTTTTAGGAGAAAGGAAACAATCGGGTAGACTTTGTACATGACATCATTCCCGCGCTACTATACACCATTCCTATCAATTGGTAATTTTCCTACACCTTACGTGATCCAGCAGAGAATAACATTGTTGAGATAAGGCTAATTTTTGGAAAGATGGCTACGTTAGCAGCCATAGTCTTACTGTTTTTCCCCGGTAAATCACTGAATGCAACTTACATGATTCTCGTACAGGCAGGGAGAGGCAGGGAGTTTATGGACATGTATGAACGCAGTGAATATTTCACAGGTAGAAAAGGAGTCGCGGAGAACGTGTTTTCTTGTGCTCGCTTTTCTAGGGGTTCAAAGTTTGGAAAATGGATAACTATAGAAAGAATTATGACATGGTAGGAGGGAGATTTCATGTACCCCCCACAAACCACACCTTACAATCCTTCTCCCCTCACCGCTATAATAATTCTATTATTCTAGCTTTACCAAAAAACATCGAACGGCTCCTTTCGAAACCTGGAAAGTTTTTCACCAATACCCCGCACGCTTAACGCTAGCCGCCGCCGTACAACCGAGCCACAAAGTACCGCCGAGACGAAAATATGCCGCAACTGCCGCTATATACAACAAACGTTCAAGGTCCCATGACTTTTTCCCCTACGAGGTTTTTTTCAGTCTTAGGAGCACGGGGTTATTATAGCAAAGGGATTGGTCACAAAGGTGGAGATAAACGGGTGTCTATTACAAGGTCTCTCTCTCTTTCCTGTATAGAAGCAAAAAACCCAAACCCCCATAGTCAAACTCGACCAAAGAAACGAAATCCTACGGGTATAGAGGGAAAAAACTAGTCAAACGGCCCTAGGCCACCGTCCTACATAGTCTCTGACTGAAAAAGGACGTTAATGGATACTACTACTACTACTACCACACCTTACAGCCCCAAAGTTTGGTCCCCACCATGACTTA